TACAAGGGCTACCCCAGGAAATATACAATGGTTGAAGCAAGGCAAATTAAGATGTAGTCACATGTTTTGCACCTCTTCCTCTCTGTACATGTATACTAAAGACTATCTATATGAAAACTATTTACCAACCACTTACCCAAACTAGTAGACATTCTGAAAGGAGTACACTTTAAATGTCTTGTTTACCTTTACTTTTTACTATGCTAAGATACAAAGGGCTGAGGCTCTCCAGAGGCAGAACTTCAATCAATGAAGCCTTACCCAACACTGAATCTTTAAGAAAAGTTCTGCATCTCAGGAACCTTAAGGAAATAAGATAGCAACCTTAGATTGCAGAAAGGACCAAAAACGGTTCATTTAACAAATGCAGTTATACAGAGGTCCCCTACCTTTTTGGATCAGTAAGTAAATTTGGAATTTTGACAGAATGCTGTGGGTACTCCCACATAATGGCTGCTCTAGGGACGTTGCCCATTCATAAAATGGATGTTCCTTTTTTTAAATCTTGTTTTAAAAAGAAATAAAATCAAGCAGAAAGATGGAGAGCAGACAACCCAGTGGACACCAACAGACATATCTGTTGGTACACTGGTGCTCATGGGCACCATATTGGAAGTCCCAGAGTTAACCAGGAACAATGCTATAATGCAGATATAGATTATACTTGAAATCTTCATTCCTGCTATCCCAAGATGTGCTGTCAAGTGCTTCCAGAAACAGCAAAATGGTGCAGAAACCCAGATATTATTTTTGCACGATTCATTCATCAGGATACCCCATCTCTCCACTCCCAAAACAAATAATTACATTTTATTCTTATAAGTAGCTCTACTTGTGTTTTTAGTGGCAAAACTACATCAGATGAAGCCTGCTGCTGATATGTTCCCACAGCGCACATATAAACCAAGATATACTAAAATTAACACATTTAAAAATAGACAGACATTTCCTTCTTACTCAGTATATATCTGCAAGCACTGCATGAGCCAAAGGATAAACTTGTACAAACACTTCCCACAGACCAACTAGATGAAAGCCTGTAATAACTCAAAGCTTAGTACCTAGACAATTTGGTTTTAATAAGAAAAAATTTTCAGCCTAACACAGGACTGGAACATAAAACAACAACAGTCTATAAATGTTGGGTTTTGTTTTAAAGTCTTGCCTTAGCATGTGCAAAAGTTCTGTTATAGAGAAATTACTCCTTCATTATGGCCTCCACATTATTTTTCCAGATTTGGTTACACACATCTCTAAAATACGGTCATCCTGCCCCTCGTGTATTTATCCCACCAGTCCACATACTGCCTCTATTATCCCCAAAACACTGATTGTGGCTCCATTGACACCATTCTTCATTTACTGGCCATGTCTGGACCTTGTGCTTGCGTGACCAGTTCAGTGTTATGACAATGAGCCCTTGTACTCGCATGCTGCACCCTCCTTACAGCCACGAGGGGATCTGGAAATTTTCATTTGTTTTTTATTAATTGCAGCATGCTGTGTGTCATCCAAATTCCAGTGGATCTCAACTGTCATTTGTTTTTAAACACCTCAGTTTAAAACCATCAGTTCTGAAGCTGGCATGTTTCAACCATAACAAAGATTAATCAATGTTGTATGACGTTTAAAGTCATGTAAATTACACTTGCATCCATTTTCTCATGTTGACTTGACTTTATGGGGAAATCCAGCTCTAAAACTGCTATGAAAATGTTTTTGCAGTGAAGATGGACAGATTAGAGGTTTGTTTTCTTGCTTGTTTTTTTATTTTGGATCTACTGGGAGATGCCATGTTGCATTCTTGTTGTTAGCAGTGGTTATATGGCAATACCTGCACATGTAGCACTCATTACTATCTAGATGTGGACCAGCTGCTTTGAAAGCATCAGAGCCTCTGTCATTCCAGAAAGTGCTTACTGAGGCTGGTGAAGCAAAACCAGCTACAATCCATCTCTATAAATCTTGTTATTAGTGTGTAAATATGATATAAATAGTTTTAAGCAGCAATGGAATAAGGAATTGGATTGTCCCACACTGCCTAATCAGTAGATCACTGTTTTGGCAGCTATACGTAAAATAGCAATGGACCTTAGCTGCATCTTATTCAGCAAAACTTTTATCTACTGGACACACCAACATCTCTTTTTTGTGTATTTTGGCTATTTGGTGGTGGTGCAATGCGGCTAATGCCTCTTTTAAACATGGGTATTGTCAACCTGCAGTCACTGCTTCTCTTTGAGAAATGAGAAAGTACAGATTTTATATTACAAGAGACTTTAAAAGCACATGGACATCACTGAATGTTACATTATTTACTTGCTTCATGGAAATCAACAAACAGTGGGTGTAACTGGATTATTTGCCTCCTTTTTACTATTTAAAGACTGGCATATGGAAAGAGAAACTCCCATCTCCATAACTCGGTAGACTAAGGACCTTCTAAGACTTTCAACATTTGAATGGGTGGCTCAGGGAGAGTACCTTCAAATGGATACTTATTTAGATATCTAGTCTACTTTTTTGAAGCTTATGCATAATTGTTAGATAATGTATTTCCAAATATGCATACTTCATATGCATTCAATGCTATAGATATTTACACATTCACATATTATATTTAAAACCACAAAAACATGATAATTAAAACTATATGCTTGACCAACATGCTAAACTGCTATTAATTGAAAGCGTAAGTGGAAACTTCCAAACTCCTTCACCCACCCACACCAGAGAAGAATGTGGTAGGCCAGGTAATCTTGGAGAACTATACACCTCAGAGGAGCCTGCACACCAGGTATGGGTCCTTTTGGGGGATTTTTAAAAATGCAGTTATATTTTATTTTTACAAACTTTCAACAAAACCAAACAGTGAACAAATAGCAAGAATACAAAACAAAACAAAACAAAACAAAACACTGGAACACAAAATGTGATGCCAGAGAAAGAACATGTCCCGGTTTTGTATTCATTCATTCATTCACACACGCATGCGCGCGCACACATATGATGTAGAAAGGAAATGCAAACACACAACAGAATTCAGCAGAACATATAGAGCATGCATAGGCATTAACTTGATGTTGTCTAGGCAGCAAATATCCTTATTGCATCTTATTCTTAGTCTATATTTCAAGAGACAAAGAACTTCCTGCCTAACACAGAAGCTAACAGACAAAGAGCGTGAGAAAGGGAATCCATTACCTGTCTTGCAGAGGAAATAATTGTTTTTAAAAATGTACTGGAGGTTTAAGGTCAATATGCTGTTACTGAAAAGTCAGTACATCTAAACCCAACTGTTCCATATGACAATTCTATAAGCACATTTCTTATGATTTACCTCACTGCAGAATCCTATGCATGTATATTTTAAAAGTCCCACCCATTATCTAATCCATACAAGCAATGCATTGACCATATTAAAAATGTGAGAAATAGACTGACTAAATTATTTCCCCACCTCAACATTTAGTGTTCTGTGACTACTGAGTATCCTTATTGGGATGATTTTGGCTTCCCTCTCTCCGTTTTCAGCCCTAAAATTTGTCTGTATGCATATGTTTTGTGTAGTAAGTAGCATTCAAAGACTATTTGAGGCTAGTCTACACTATTCGTAGTGTAGCTTAAAGAAACCCCTAGGAAATCTTCACATACAATTCCTTTTCCAAGCGGGATTTTTTAATTTTTCATTTCAATTTCATTTCATTTCAATTTTCTGAAGAAACACCTTGTCCCGTAAGTCCATACTCAGGCCTGAAGATCATCCTTTGAGGTCCTTCTCAGGGAACACTCCCAAAAAGAAGGGGAAGGAGAACAGGAGAAGGGCTTTTTCAGTATTGGCACACCTTCCCTGGAACATGCTCTCCAAAGTGGTACATCTGTCACTTTTTTTTTTTTCAGCACCAGGTGATAACCTTTTTGTTTTCCAGATATTTTAATAGATAATTGTTAGTTTTAAAATTGTTTCCTTTTCATTATTATTGCCATGTGCTAATTTGATTATTGAAACTGTAGGCTGTTGTCACTGCTGATGTGGTTGCATTGTTCCATCAAAATATAGTGATTTTATTGCTTGTTTATATGCTTTTTAACTTCGTAAGCCACTCAGAGTGCCTTTGGGCTAAGGGACAGTATATAAGTGAAATAAATAGTGTCAAATAAAGATTACTTCCAGTTAAGTGTGTGAAGAATTCCAGACTTAAGACAATTACAAACCAAATCTTTTTCATGCAGCTTAGATGCACAAGAATGCAAATCAAAAAATTTTTGAAGAAGTCACACTAGGACTTTTGTGCACAGGCCTAAATTTATGTCCTTGATTTGCATTTTTTTTTTCAGTTTCCTAGGCCTGTTCTGTTTCCTCTAAAAGGGGAATCTCTTCTTGCAATGTCTCTGCTCAAGCAGAATTACACACGCTTTCAATTTCTTGTACAGTAAGAAATGGTATGGTCTCCTTCACACAGATTCTTTACACAGTTTGAAGTGAAGGCCTTTCTTAATTCTAGGCAACAGCAAGAGATTTGCTGTCTAGTGAAAAGTCTGCAGAGAAAAAGAATGACAGCATTCTAAAGACTGCTGCATTTTAAATCCCATGCAGCCTAAACTGGATTTGAGATCAATATTACTTTCTTGAAAGCAAAACAAATCCAATATTGGGGAGAAAGGGCAAACACACAATGTGATTTTAATGGCACTGGTAATAAGCCTGTGTAATTCAAAGTATTATATGAAGTCTGGTAAATCACTTTAATGAGTTAAATGAATTACTGAAGTTAAGAAAACAATGACCTATATATATGAAGCTTTACCAATCCGAAGAGCATGCCCTAGGAAGAAAGCCTCACTGAGCTCATGTCACATATCTTCCGAGGCAGTGTGTCTAGTACCACAGCCTAATAGCGTGACCAGATGTCAGATCCATTAAGTTCAATGCACAAAGCAAGTGTGCATAAAACTGTTGTCTAAACTTTGCACAAAGAAGTAACCGTCAAGCAACTCACCATGTAGGTCAGAAGACACTTGGTAGGATTCAATGAATTCCTGTAAGAAAGGAAAGAAAGGGTTTAATTGGTCTTCATTCTGTCATTTTTTCCTTCTAGGCCCCATATCACAATTACTTGCTTTCTGGCTGAAAATGATTCCTTGGGACTCCCACTGGAAGTAGTCAATGTCAGTCCCTAATCACTTGCAGGAAAGGTGAGTGATAGTAAGCACTTTCACCTTTTCCCCTGGGTATGCACACCAGCTCTGTGACATGGAAGTACGTGTTTAGAATTCAAATAAATGCATATCTGAATGCATATCGTCCTTTTCATCCTAGGACTGAAAACAAGAGGTCAACATGCAAAATAAAATCCTACACTGAATTTATAGGTCTGATCACCTTTCTAAGATAGGAACCAAGGATTGCCAAAATCTATGCTGATATACACAAATGCAAGTACAATTAAAGAGAAAACAAAGTCTTACACAGCAAATCTCAGTTATGTTTCCTGTCTGGTTAGTTTATTGTTCCCATGCATTCTGGAATTTATATAAGATGCTGGACAACAGAGGACATGCAGATAAGATTACACACAATGGGAATGCTAATGTAACTAATGTAACAGAATGTGACTGCTAATGTAACTAATGTTTTGAGTAAATAAACTATTATACTATGGATGACTAATTAATTTTCCTTAATTCATGGTTGTGGAACTGGATGACATACAACTGCAAACGACATTCTCATAATCTAGTATTTAAAAACTACCAACAAAAGTATTAAAAAACTACCATTTCTGTGGCATACCTTTCCCACATACATTCTCCCCATCTTTTTCCATGACACAGTTAATCAGCATGGTGGTTATTACCAATCAGCCTACCTTTTAAGCAGTGTTTGAAAACATGTTTCATTCATTCATTCATTCATTCATTCAAAACTTTTATATGCCGTCACCACATGCCTCGGCATCCCAGGACAGCTCACAGCCATAGTTACCCATTTTCTCAGTATGCCTGCTTTAAGTAGGTTGAGGCAAACACCATCTGCTGTGAAAGGATATTACTCGATTCCTATTTTACATTCTGCAACTATTGTTAAATCAGATCAGCACTATTTGGTTAGTAATATGCAGATATGATATAACACCACATTTGTTCTGACAAGAAAAGATGATTCTGAGATGATTAAGAGACTGGCATGATTATGAAGTTGTCAGTGATAAGGCTATACTGGATCAAATTCTCCTCAAATTATTTCTCTGATGGTTTTGCTATCAGCTTTTTTTTTTTCTTTTAACAAAGTTCATTTAATACACTAAACATAATTCATTTTGCAATATTATAAACTTTCATCAGTACTGGACAGTAACTCTTTACTGATATAAATGCATTTAATGTTTGTTTTAATTAACTTGTCTAGATCTTGGAAAACTGATGAACCTCATTCAATAATGTCATACCCTAACCCTAACTATGACTAAGTATTTATAAAAATACATATATGGAGAAAAACATGTCTCATAACTCTTTTACTAGTCTTTGCTCTTCCATGGGATAAAATAACAATTTTTTCCTGCCATAATGCTTTGCTAAATAGGAAAAATAAATGCAATATATTGGAATGATAAAATTCAGATGATGTAGAGATGTTGTTTCATTAGCATAATCAAATAGTAAAATGTGCATGACAAGGATAGTATGTCGACAAACACAATTACCACAAATGAGATGGTGAAAGTATCAGCCCAAAACTTAATAATTGAGATATATAAATAATTTCATATAGCATGGTTTAGTTTGAGGCAAGACATTTTAATGTGCTAACTTTGTGCAAGTATTCAGACATATTTTAATAAATTTATGACAGAGCAGAAAAAGCTGTCATCATGCTATAAAAATGAGTCTCTCAGAAATGAACTGAGTATATGTTGGCAGAACTGAAGAATCTTGTAGAGAAAAACAAATCCCATTACTGTGTACTTTGCAGCCTTCAATCTTGGTGAAAATACCAATGTTTATTTTCTGAGCCAATTCAGTGTGAGATAGGAAAGTTGCTTCTCTATGTAAGACAGACAAGGAGACATGACTGAAAAGCATTAGCTATCTCAAATCTTGACAGGCGTGTATAAAATTTCCAGTTAGCAAGGTCATACTATACAATATCTATTTCCTGATTTAAAATGATCCCTCTATCCCATAACTTGCTGGGGTACCCATGTTTAAAGTACAACAATGTACAATCATAAACACCATTTGTATTTTGCAGTTAGCCAAAACAAAAGTGCCATGCTGCATACTGACCAGCACAGTCAAATAATGTCAAGTATTCTAAGGAAGCCACTGTGAAGATGGCAATTTACCTTTAAAAAAATTTATTTATTATCCTGACTACTGCTGAGTGAAGTAGTCAGGTGCCTCCAAACACATGAACACACAGTCATTAGCAGCCAACACCACTCCTCAGTGAGCAATACAGAGGTCAGAACACGACCGGAAAGACCAAGGTTCAGATCCTCAATTCAGTCATGAAGTTTTTTGGGTGACACTGGCCTAGACATGCACTCCTAGCCTAACTTACCTCATAGAATTGTTGGGAGGATAAAATGCCAAGGAACCACCTAAGCTCCTGTGGGAAATATTACATATATATTTTAGCTTGTTTTTCTAAAAGTATAGTCACTTGAATACCCTCCCCTTCTTTCTTTCAGCTCTCTCACACTAGTATATTCATCAGTGAAACAGGATTTTGAGTGTTTGAATTTCAGGCTTTTGGTTTAACTATTTTGTCTGCTTGCCAAAAAGTTAAGCAGAGCATTAAGGTCAAAGTCCAGAGGCTCTCTATAACAAAGCTTTAAGTAGAATTAATGACATACTATAGGTTCAGCACTGAAAACATGAAAATAAGTAATTCAATTCTAATTAGCACTGTTCTCTTAGTTACATTAAAGGAAGCAAACAAAAACACCCCCCTCCATTCTCCTCTTATACTCAGTGTGTGTGTGTGTGTGTGTGTGTGTGTGTGTGTGTGAGTGAGAGAGAGAGAGAGAGAGAGAGAGAGAGAGAGAGAGAGAGACCTCTACTACATCTTAATTCTATGCTCAGTTATTGACACATGAACCACAGAACACAAGCTTAAGCACTAACTTCCCAGCACCGGCACACGGTGACATTTCAGATACAAGGAAAGTGGGTTTGTCAACACAAGAGAAAGGGTGATGGTGCCAGTCATCAAGACGGCTGTGAAAAAGCTGCCACTCCTGGCACCAGTGGACCACTGCATCAGCAAAAGCTGAAGCAATGTGGACATTGGATTTTTTAAAGACATCCCTAGAACTAAGCTTGAGAACTTCATGAGCAGAAGTGGGTATTATAGTAATCCACAGTGAACAAGAAAGGACAGTTCAAACAACACTGGAACAGTGGAGAGAGGTAAAGAGGGAGGAACCCAAGCTGGATGGGATGGGGCCCCTGGAAAGTGGGAAGAGAGAGACAGCAGCTGCTCCATTCAAAGAGTGAAGGACCAAATAGAAATGGAGAACACAAGACACTGTATATTCTTTTCTGCAAGTGATTCAATCTCAGTCAGATCCTTTATCCTTCTTTTTTCCAGGCTTGCATGTATGTAAAATCAAACCAAACCAAACCACTTTGTACAAAATAAGGTGCTCGCAGCAACTGCTTGTTTCACAATCTTCCAAAAACATTTTTCAATAAAATAGTACAAAATAACTGGCATTCTACTGCATATGATATCAGCCGAGCCAGAAATGGAAGTGGACAGAGCCATGAAGCCAGAGGGATGCAAATCTAATAAAGCTAGCAATCAAAGAACAGAAGGCATTCACTACCTTTGGAAAGTTCTCTCCCCACTACCATTTCCTGTTTCCTGTAGAATGTTCTAACATAAGAAAGTGTTATATAACAAGACTAAGAGGAACACTTAGATGAGAACATTAATTATCTGGTGAAACACAGAAGTATTTGAGTAAGTTTTCTTCTTTTTAAAAAGAGACAAACTCTCAAGATAATCAATTATTTCCTTGTTAAAACACAGACACAATTTTTAAAATAACACACCAGACCCCTGCCATTGTACCCTTAAAAGCAGGCTATCAGAGCTACCACCTGATTCATACAGTTCTAGTCAACTCTTGACAGCATGGCAAGTTAAGCTTGCTAGATGCACATTTAGGATGACTATACCTTTAATTATGGTAACTTGTTTTACTTCTTCCAAGGTGCTCAGGGCAGTGTACATGGTTCTTCTCTCCCCTCCCTTTTTATCCTCACAACAAGCCTTTGAATTAATTTAGACTGAACATTAGAGACTTGTCACTTGGACAAGATGTCCCATAAACTGATGCAATAAAAAACTGACATAAAGGAGTTAGTAAAAGTTTATCAGAGTGCTGCCAAGAGTATACAAGAAACTTTCCCTGGTGGAAAGCAGCCAACAGTGTGCCAGTTCTCACCATGGAAAGTTTCTGTGAGCCTTTGAAAACACTCATTCTTCCAGAAATATGACAATAACAGTGCCTTCCCTACATGGAAACTACACATTGGTAGTGGTCTAAGACCCTTTCTGGTCTCTCAGTATTATCGCCTGCAATGCACTTTCAGCATTTGGTCAGTTATTGTTTACCACTTTGTGTCTAATTTCATGGGAATGCTATAAATTTACCTAAGAGAGAACTGAGAGTTAGAAGCTTGGATTACAATATTTAGAGAAAATACGTGCATGTAAACTAATACATTAGTAATTAGATCACTAAACAAGACTGGTTTGGTGGACACGCATTTGGTATTGGTTACAATATATTCACAGAATCATATTCTTGTTTATGTTTGTAAATGCACAGATGAAATGATTTTTTTAGAATTTTTTGGAAAATATTTTATATTTTCACCAGTTTGATTACTCCAATTCTTTTATCACAAACTTTCCCTTTGTCAGGATATAGTATCCTGTTTACCTGTCTCCTATAATCTAAGTCAAAGTGACCACAGCCATGATTGTGTCAATTTGCTGAATCCTGGGTTCCAATTCCTTG